TTTTCTCGATTTCTTTTCATTCATTCATTTTCTATTGTTACACACAAAAATCATCATTCAAATCCAAAATGCGTATCGTATTATTGTTATTATTTGATTTTATTATGTTTTTTAGCTTGAACATGGTTGTCGTCAGTAGTGGTTAATTCATGTTATATTTTAGCAGAGAAACAACATCACTTGAGAACATCTGTTGGCTTTTCCCTCATTTCAACAATAAACATTATATTTGATCACAATCGAGTGGTCGAAAGTGAATGAATCAATCTCAACAAGAAAAAAATGTTTCAGCCATCATGGTATCAACATTGCAAACCAAAATCTATCCATATCGCATTTGATTTGATTTGATTTTGGCCAGGAATTAATCTGTTGGTTTTGTTTTTTAAAAATTTTCAACTTGAAATTCAAAAAAGAGGCAAGGATGTTTTTTCTTTGTTGAAAAATTCATTTGAAAAACATCATCATCATTATCACGACTTGTGACTTTGATGACTTAATTTTGGAAAAAAATTTGTTTCAAGTATTCCCTTGAGTAGTTTTTGTGTGATGCAACATGAAACACTTGTGTGTGTTTTTTGCGAAATCGATGCCCGTTTCCCGTTTCTCGCGTTTTAAATTTCTGTTTCTCTGTTCATAAACACAATGGTTATTGTTTTTTCCACTTGAAAAAACTTTAAAATCGATCCATTTTGTTTTTGCAAAGTTGAAACTTTAAACCAGAAAAATGAGTGAAATAACCGAGAAAAAACATTTAAGCATCATCATTTGAAAAAATCAAGAGGAGACTGGATCCAAATTCTATCCACTCTCACATTTCATCGAATCGATTTCACATTTTGAATTTTTCTTTTTGAATGTTCAATTTTTTATTTGGTACCCGGGTTCAATTTTTCCATTCATAAAGATCATTATGAATGAAAATAGCTATTGTTTGTTTGTTTGTTGGATGATTTGAAAATGTTGTTGATGATGATGGAAAGAGTTCATAAATCATTTCAAGTTTTAGTCATTTATTTTTTGTTTACGGAATGGTCGGAATTCTCATCATCATTATCGTTATCGTTGTCGTCATTGTTGGTAAACAGAATCATAAAATAGCTATATGATTCTGTTTAAATTTGAAAATGAAATGATTGATTGAACAATTTTTTTCATTTGTTTGTCCAATTTGATTCGGGATTTTGTTTCATTCATATTTGTGGAGATGTAAAGCAAAACAAATTTATCAAATTGAATTGAATCAATGTTGTTTTGTGAAAGGATCATCATATCTTTGGATTCTTTCTTTGCCATGTTTGATGGATCGATGTACAAAGCTTTGCTTGGAAATAATTAATTCGTCAGGATAAATTATTAAATTCTTGTCTTGCTCCTTTTCGTGACAGATGAGAAAGGAAAAAAAATCAATTTTTCCACAACAACAATGTTGTCGGTGGTGATAATGATGATGATGATCGTGTTTCCTAAGCTTTCCATTTGAAGAATTAGAAAAAAGCTCTTCATCATCACCGAAAAAACATCTTGATTATCTTTGTGTTGGTCTAATAATTACCTTATTGTGAGAATGTTAGAAAGAGAGATGCTTAGTTCAATGAAATGATGACATCTAAAGATGTTCTTGGATATTATCAGTGAGTAACGAAAAAGTCTTGTCATGTTTTGTTGACATGATTGACAATCAAAACTATCGATTGTCAATATCGCGATTCCGGTTTTCTTGAGTTTCTGGAATGAAAAAAATTCCTAAATGACGACTCTAATCAAATTCATTTTGATTATCATTCATTTCTCACTTGTATAATAAATGGATTGTCATTAAATGGAATGAAGTTTTTTGTTTGTTCAAATGATGATGATGACAATTGGCCTGTGTTGATTGTGATTATGTAATGATGATGTGCAAATATAATATATTTCATTCCTAAAAACAAAATGACAATTTTCATTTTCCTTTTGATCATCATTACAATCGTCATAATGTAATGAAAATTACATTTTTCTCTTTGTTGTTTTCCTGATTCATATTATTTTATTATCATTCATTGGTGATGAACGAATCGAAACAAAAAAGCTAATTTTCTAAATGGCTTTTTTGTTTTGTAGAATGGAAATTCTATTATCCTTCGCGGTCGATTATGATGATTATGATGATGACATTGTCATTATTGTTCATCATCATCATTATTTGCAATTTTTTTCCGTCGTTGTAGTTGTTTGAGATGATTCTGATTCTGGTGTTGAGGATGATGATAAACAAAGCTAATTCAATATTCTAAGTGGTTGTTGCTGGAACTAGAGCATTTATTTATATTTATTTACTTACAACAACAATGCAATATAAATGATATATTTCTTCTCTTCGTTTCAGTTAAATCGATTTAGTCAGTTTATTTTTTATTTTTGCTTTGTTCGGAAAATTGGTTTATAACCACTTTTTATATTTTTTTCGTGGATCACCTTCCGGGCATTTGAACTGAATTGGAAATCCTGGTTATCAAGTAAACTATAGATAAAATATCAATCCAGATAAACATTTTGTTTGGCTTGGTTGTTTGATATAACAATTTACATAAATTATATGTTGAAAGTTTTTGTTGTTGTTTTTATATGGAAATTGTCCCTTGTTTCTACCATAATGATGATGACAATTAACAAAACAATAATAATCTTATAAACTCATCATTCGATTTTAATCGATTTTAACAACATTTTCCATTTTCATTTTTTTCGCCCGAAACCAGAAAAAATGAAAAAAATTTGATTCTGTTTCTGTTGAAAAAAGTTTTTTGGTCCATTCATTCACTCAGCCATCGTGAAATTGGATTATTAATATCACCGTTATATGGATTTCAATCCACAACAACAGCCACCACTCATCATCGATGAATAGAGTGAGACCTCTTGTAAATATTTTCCAAACAAACCAAAAGAAATTTTTGAAACAGAAACCGATTATTATAAGCAATGAGAGTTTCGGATGGAAAAAATTATTCATTTTGCTTGATAATCGGATTTTGAGAAAAACGAAAATCCAATGTGAATCTAGCCACTTGTGATTTTCGAAATTTTTTTCGGCAATTTAAATTTTCGAAATTCAACTGCATTGGATGATGATTTTCTGATTCCAACGATCCCAAGGGATCAACAACATTCCCATCACAAATTCTAAACATCCAATGTCCAGATTTTTTATATTTCTAAAATTTGTCCATTATTTTATGATTTTATGATCACCAGAAACCAAAAAGAAAAAGAAAAAAGAGTAACACATCCTTATGGTATTTTTATGGAATTTCATTTTTTCATGAATTTCAAATTAAACAATCAAAACGACAACAGCAAAAATATTTTCGTGTCATGTCATGTTTACCATTTATTCTGTCGCAGAATATTTATGGCTGGTTGGTTGTTGTTGGTAAAACATAATTCATTCATTCAATCGATTTGACTTTATGAATAATAATGAGGCTTGCTTGTTTTTTGTTGTTGATTCGATTCAAAACAACCATCACATTGATGCCTGGTGTTTTTTTCTTGATATTTCCCAATCAAATTATTCAGTTTTGTGGTCACGGTTATTGCCAGTATTGTTGTTGTTGTTCGATTTCGAATATTTGAATAAATTTTTTTTCTATTTGATGAAAAATTCCCCCAGAAATCCAATGTATTTTTCAAATCTTTGCGGAAAAAACTATTCCGGAAATCCGTAACATATTTATGGAAACGCCGTTCATAATGATGATTTTATTATAGGACAAGATCGAGAAAAAGAAAATTATTTTCCGTTACGGGAATTGCTTATTTATCAACCATACAATGAACAGATCTCTCTGGTGGTATATTTGCTGAAACCGACACACATTGGTTTCGTTACGGATTATTGGTTTGTCATGCTTGTTTGATGATGGTTCAAACTTACATAAAACATTTTTCGTTTACTGGAAAAAATCCAATTTTTTGCAAAATAAGAACTTTGATTAGATTCAATTCTTGAAGAAGAATCAAAAAAGTTTTTTCGTCGTCGTTGTTGTCGAAACTTTTACTTAAACCCTATAAACATATCGAGAACAATCTATGGAAGAAGAATCGAAAAAGAAGGTCTCATCTGTGCAATCCAATTCTGGTCTTCACTGATGATGACCATAATCCCTGAAAAGTAATATCAAAGTTTTAATACACACTGATACGACAAGCAACCAAGGCAAAAGAAAACTTTTCTTCATTTTCATCAATATCATTCCTGGAACAGATAAATAATCCAAAGATTTATTGTCCAGCGTAGAGAAAAATTAAAAAAATCCCTAAGCAAAGATTGGATGAAATAGAATGATGAAATATAATTATCCATTTATTAAAATTCCAATTGATTGGTATATTTGTGAGAATTCTGATGAGAATCCAACACAGATGTGTTGTGTGCGTCCATGTTATAATCCACCCCTAAAAAATCGATGAATGTTTTGACTGTGATTATTACTGTTAAATAAATCTTGTTAGCACGTGATTTGTCACCCAGCTATCTGTCTATCCATCCAAGCATATAGAGAGAAAAAAAATTGAATAATGATCTCTCTATATATATTGATCAATAAACGAAAGAAACATGCTGATTACTTTAAGTAGCTTAATGTTGTTGTTGTTGGCATATTACGATGATATTGAGGCCATAAGCTTCTTACCCAATAATCACATCTATAACGATGTAACTAATATTTAACTATGTTGTTGTTGGTGGTGGTAGCATTGATTTTGACACTTTTTTGAGTCATCAAATGGCCAATGGCCAACATTATTATGATGAGAAGGAAAATTGAATTGATTTTTTGATAAAATGATTGATGATGAATATGATGATGGTGGAATTGAATTTTAAACATTACTATCATCATTAATGTTTTTTTCATAAGCCGAGCAAATTAATTTTTTTAAACTTTGAGATGTTTATCTTGCCATTAAAAATGATGGTGGGTATTAAGCTAGGGATGTGATGATTCAATGTAATAACAAACCCCAGGGCACGCGTTTGGGCGCGTGTTTCGCAGTCAAGATTTAATCTTTTAATTTTTTTTTCTTCGTTCACAGGTTTTTTCCAACTAAAATCATCATCATCATCAAGATTTGTTGGTTGGTTGAAATAATGATAATGAGTCTGATTACATCATCTGAAACAACAACAACAAATTCAAAATTGAAAATTCGTCCATTAGATCAAACTTGTGAAAATAATTTTAAAAATACAATGATGATGCTGAAAGCGAACAATAATCATTTACCGATTTCGATTCCCTCATCATCTACATCCACATCATCGGCATCAACATCGATAATTCGTCCATTAACCGATTTAATCGATGGCCAAATATTAAATCAGGGCGATATCATTGGACCGATATCAAATCTTTGCAAATGGCTTCGTAATGAATTGGATCGCATTGAACAATGTTTACAGCGATCATCGAAAATATCTTGTTCATCATCGACAATTGTTGAAACGGCAATGTCGAAATTGGAACAAAATCTTGAAATAATCTATTTGAATGAACAATACTATTTGGAAGTTATACGATCATTTCGCTGTTGTCAACAATTTTCAACAATACAATCCACCAATGATAATGGCTTGTTGATGGATGAAAAACCAAAAGCCTGGTTCAATCATTTGATCGAAGAAAGTTTAACAACAACCATACGACCAATACAAACATGGATAAATGGTAAAGAATTATTCGGATGTTTATGGTGCAATCATTTTTCGTTCTATTCAAATCATATGATATTACATATCATGATGGATTGTATGAAACATTTTATCAATATTAGCCATAATAATTTTGCTCATAAAAATGGTTATATTAAATTTAATGAGACTATTGCGGATTCAGCTAATCATCAATTATCATCAACCGAACAACAATGTCGCCGAAAGCAGATACGCAGTTTTGATATTGTATCATTGTTGAATCAAAAGGATCGAAAATCAACATTGGATCATAATGTTGATCAGGATAATGATTATGATTATGATAATCAAGATGCTGATATTGAAGTCGACGTTGAAACATTGGATGAGGATAATTCGGATCAAATGATTAAACCAACAATGATGATGAATATGAATGGACAAAAACAACGTTCGAAACGATCATCATCGATTGTATCGAATCAAAATCGAATACCACCATCACCGTCATTGTCATCAACACTAATTAGTCAACCAATTATTCGTGGTAAATATAATCGCAAATCATCATCAAATAATAAATCGAATGCCAATGTATCATCAACCACGAACAATCAATCGAAAAGTGCATTCAAAAAACTGAAAACAATCAAGGCTGCAAATAAATTGGCGACCACCAATCAATCAACAATTAAATCGAATCAATTTCTATCCAATTTAAATATGACAAATTTTTATAGTCAAATTTCAACCGAACAATCGTCGAATGCTTGTTCCTTTCCATTGGCTAATCTATTTAATAATCAAAATGATTCGCCCATTACTTCCGTAAATTCATCATCAACATCACCGAAACAAATGCAACATCCAATTGGATCAAGTAAATCATCACCGATTTCCGTACAGCCAACAACTTTCGAATCAAACACAACAACAACCGCCGCAATGAATAATTCTTTAGAATCATCTGGTTCAGTTGATTTATCTATCGATTCGTCGTCATCATCATCATACGATTCCCATTCACCGGATTTAGCCGAACGATCATCATCAACATCGGATTATAATAATGTTGTTGATAGAAGCAATAATAAACAAAATGAAAATGATATTGTATCGAATGCTGATGAATCATCATCCTCATCACTGATACAATTATTACCACAGTCATCGGTGATAAATAATCCATTAATGAATTTACCACCATATTTTATGCCGCCAACAACAACAGCATCGTCAGCAGCAAATAATCCATTAATAACATCATTGTATTTGTTATCACCATCATTGACAGCATTGAGCTATCAGGCAAGTAATGTTTGTGCATATTGTAATCAAGCATTTCGTATGACATCCGATTTGGTTTATCATATGCGTTCGCACCATAAACGTACAAAAGCAGCCGATGATTTAGTGAATAAAAAACGTCGTGATGATCAATTACGTTGCCATATTTGCAATGAAACATTTCGTGAACGACATCATCTTACCCGTCATATGACATCACACCAATAAAATCTTTTCTCAAACAACAATGTTATCGATTTGTAGCATTACTAGTCAAGTATTGTCTCATTTTAATTGTTTATTTATTTGAAAAAAATTATATTTATAACAAATCAATGCAATTGTAGTCAATTTTTGGTGGAAAAATTAAATAAAGTAATGGTTTGTTTTTGAATTCCATTCAACTATTATACCAACGATCAAAATTAGATAATATTGGTTCGATAAACGGACAATCCTCATTGTTTGTTTGATTTGCTATCACTTTGATTGTTGAACTTGATTCAGAATTAATTTTTGGTTCTTGTTGCTGTTGATGATTGATAGAATTGGTCGCAGAAATTGCAATATTCAATGATGATGATGGCAGTTGCTGTTGTGATCCATTTTCAACGACATTGGCCAGAACATTGCCCGAATTGGAATTACTTGAGAGATCTTGATATGATGCATCATCATCATCATTACCATTGTTTTGTTGTTGTTGTTGGCCAAGTTCCAGGAAAACATTGCGTAATGAATAAAGATGATATTTCATTTGTTGGTTTTGTTCTTCCAATGTTTGGCAACGGCGACGATAAAAATCCAGTTCCTGTTGTTTATCAGTATCGATTGTTCGATTATTATCATTCATTTCTTTTCGATTATTTTTCTTCAATATTGCTTCATATCGAAGTAATTGTCTTGTTAACTCAATATTTTCATTCATGGTAGCGGTTAATTTGATTTTTAATTGATCACGATCATCAATCAATCTCATTATAGTTCGATCACGTAAGTGCAACATTTGTTTTAGTGAATCACAATTCGAACATTTTTCTATCGAACGATGTTGATGATTACCGTTGATAATTGTTACATTATCTTCGCTAACATCATCAACCTCCTCGTCATCATCATCATAATCATTTTCGACAACATTTTCTTCCAACCGTATCGAAAGACGTGGATTATTCTGGATGTCAGATTTTAAAAAATGAAAAATTTTGATAATTAATTAAAATTGCAAAACAAACAAACAATAAATAGCCAAACCATATTGTATGTTTGATTCAATAACAAATGAATCGATTGTTTTGGTTTCATCGAGATTGCGCTCATGATTTGTTTTTGATTCGGTTTTGTTCACAATCAAATCCTTTTTTGATGGTTTCCTTGGTGATCATGGAATATTCTTTTGATGACGATGATCAAATCGATAGGAAAAATTGATAAATACCAGGTGAACTACCACTCTCACCTGATGCACACAGCACCTGCAGGCTTTTTTCAACATTCGAAACATTGAGCATATGGCCATCTATCGTTGGAAAAATTCAACAACAAATCTAAGAAAACAGATTCATTTCAAGATTTATCTTTATTATCATCATCATCATTAACAGCCATACGATTTTTAATCAATTTTTTTAACCACCGCACAACACCAATCATGATCAAACAGACACCAAATGCTGCTATAAATGTATAGAAATGTGATATGATTATGAAAAATATTGAACAAAATTGAAGAAGCATTTTCAAGTAACCATTCACGGTATAAACCTCTTCAATCCATAAGAATGGTATGACAGTTGGTTTATGTGGAACATTGGGATGTAAATTTTGATAGAATGGCTGCATTAGATTGAAATTATATTGTAAACGAAATCTTGAATCAACTGTAACACCAAATGTTGGTTCCATTTGTAAATACGAGGAATGTCGAAGTAAATCGGGTCGTAATCCACGTACCATACGTGCAAGATTTTTGGTATGTAAAAAATGCACATTTGTTATGACTAACCATTGTTGTTGTTGTTGATCAGATTGACGATAACATCGATTCAAATAGAATCGTCCTTCACAATCGTCATCATCATTATCAATATTATCGGGACAATAACACCAATTATCTGGATAATATTCAAGAGAAAATTGTTTCGAATCCCAACGATAATATTGTGTTTGAATCCAGTCAAATTGGTCATTAGAATCGAACAGAAAACGAAATGATCGACATGCATAACGTGGATCGAAAATATTCACAAACAAATTATCATATTGTTTTGGACCGAAAAATAAACCTTGATTCATTTCGTTGAAATGATTGCATGTGGTATGTTGAAAATATTGAAATTCATGTTCATTTTCATAACTATAATATTGATTCAATTTTCTAGCATATCGTTGGCCTGTATACAATTCAATTGGTCCATATTGTTTATTGTGATCGAAAAAACTGAAACCACCACCACCGTCATCATCATCGGTGATATTTTGGTGATTGTCAATGCCCAAAATTTGGCCAACACTTTTTTCAATAATCAATTCATCCTCGATCCTTTTGGTTAGATTTTGATCCATCAATAATGAATTATTGTTATGTGAATTGCCTAATATTGTCTATGTTGGATGAAAAAAAGATTTTAGTCGAGAGAATTATCATGCATAATATTTACCAATAATGGAAGATTAATTGTTTTGATCATCATCGATAATGGACCAATACTATTTTCTTGAACAAATTCATAATGAAAACTTTCATTGAAACGAATCAATTGATAATTGGATGGCCAATCAATTATAATACGTTGATGTTTAGAATGAAAACAGAATGGTCCAATTTCATTCAAGCGAATTGTTTGTTTACCGGTTAAAAATTTCGGTCCATTCTCAATGGAAAACAACCATACATTTATGATGGAATCTGATTGTTGCCAAATATTCATAATCATACCACCACTTGGTTTCAATTTCATGAACCATTCTAGCCATGGATTGAAAACAATTTCATTGAAACCAAAATAAAACACAATACCAAATAATAGATAAAATATTCCGAATATTACAAGAAAACGTTCAGTCTTTTTCGAACTATAATGTTCAGCCAACTTTGTCATCAACATTCGAATCACTATATTACCCATTGATTCACTGATTGATTTGTTTCTTCGCCAAAACAAAAATAAACTCACCAATAATGGACCATTGTTTCAAGAAGAAAAAAATCGATAAATTTTGTTCGTTTCCAAAGATACCTTTTTATTGACAACAACAGAAACACAGATGAATTTAAAAATGTTTCATTTTTTTTAAAATGGTGGTTCGTTTGTTTCAAAAAACATGCGCATTTTATTAGAAAAAAATTTTGTTTATAAATAAAATAATTTAAAAAATAGTTTAACAAAAATATTACTATTCCTTCTTAATAAAGGATTCGGATATTATCAATTCAAGAAATTTGGTAACATTTTCCTTGTTTTCCAAAAGATTATCAGTAATTTTTGGTAAAACATCTTCAATAGTTATTTCAACAAGTTTGTCATTCATTCCATCAAGTTGATAATTACTAATTAACGGAAGATAGGTGAATAATGTTTGTTCGTTAAGATTTCTTCGTATAAATGATCGACAATGCTTCATTAATCTTTCATCACCATAGCAATTGGCCAAATCGATAAGTTGAGCTATATTGGATTGATTGATTCGAACGTTGCCATTATGCAACATTACTAGATATGAATAATAAACATCATAATTATAATCTTTGATGATCACTTTATCATTTTCTTGCCAAACACCCGAAAACATTCGACTATAATATTTGGATGACATTTTCAGATGACATTTGGAAGCCAATATGCGTTCATTACCGATAATAAACTCAACATCATAATTATCTGGATTATCCAATAATCCAATAAATGATATTGAATCAGTTGATTCGAATATATCGATTGTTAATGTTAGACCATATGTCATTGGTGATTTGCATAATATTGCCGATGCGGCTGCAAATGATTCCGGTTGATGGTCCACTTTTTTGGGCGATACGAATTCTTCATCTCTCATCATACCCCATACATAATAATTGGATGATTGATCGAAAGCCAATGAAAATAAATCATCATTCTTACAAGCTACACTTTGAACATTTTCAATCGCAATTTTGGTTGGCACTTTTGCATCTTGCTTTTGATCATTGAGAGAACGTTGATAATAACCACATCCAAAAATTTGACCATTCTCCAATAAAAATAACGAATACCATGCTCCGGCCATGATATTTTTGATTGGGCTATCATTTGAAAATAATACTGGTGAAGGTGTTCTTCGACTACTTTTATTGCCTAGACCTAATTGGCCAAACTTATTCCAGCCCCAGGAACAAATTGTATTGGCATTGGTGAGAGCAAGACAATGTTTAGCTCCACAAGCTATCAATTTAACATTTTTTAAATAAGTGTTGACCAGAACATCATACGATGACAATACATTACCGGTCAATTGACCAAAAAGATTATCACCCAAAGCATAAACAGCGCCATCTCGTCCTAACAATAACAAATGATATTTTCCACATGCTATCATTTCAAAACGATCATTACCGGTGGATATTAATCGAAAAGTATTTTTTGTTCGCCATTTTGAATTGTCATTACTGGCTAGATAAACCAATCCATCGTTAGTTAAAACAACAACAAATTTATCACCGGAATCGATTTGAATGATTTTTTGGCCATCAAAAATATCAATCTCTTGTGGTCGTTTAGAATCATGTTGTAACGATAGCCATTTGCATATTTCATGCCCATAAACATAAGTAGAATGGTTAGTTATGAATAGAAAACCAATATGATTTCTGAATGCAGATATTTTATAAATATAAACAATTTTTCTAATAAATTTTCGATCGATATCTTTTAAATCGTTTTCAAATAATTGGATATCTATACAAGTGTCGATTGGTATTTGTTTCATCGTTTTTTATGGAAAATTCAGTTTGGTTCTGAGCAATGTTCAACAATGATACACAACATACACAAACAAACCATCAAATATATTTGAGCCAAATTATCAAAATCAAAGTATTGTGTGTATGTGCAATAACTACAATAAAAACACAAACAAACCATCAACATTTCATCAATACCATAATGCTTATATTACAGAAAAACTCCCCGATAATGATTAGATTAGATTGATTGATTGAGTAATTTTTTCCACCGATTGAAACATTGTTTTTAGAAAATAAACACAAATTGAACCCAAAGAAATATAAAAAGGTTACACTGTGGAAATCAATATGTCAAATCAAACAAGTTGTATACAAACTCAAAAAATGGAAAAGAAAACATCAACATGCGCAATACAGCTTGTTTTGTTGTGAATGAAAAAACCTGTGTCTAACCACAAATTGCATTATTTGATACTGTTAACAAGCAAAAATGAACCATTTTATAATTAAATAAATCAGAGATTAGCGTTATTATTATTTGATCAACGAATTTATGAATGAAATATTTTCCAATAAAAGATTGTTGCTCCCACATCAATTCCATTCAAGAAAATTTATACATTTTTTGCTAGTAACATCTTCGATGATTAGCTCAATAAGTTTCATATTTTTGAAATGCGATCGTATTGAGTTTTGGATCAATTCTGATTGCAGAAAACTGAAAGTTGCTGAGACGAAAACAAAAATTAGCTTATTTGAGTAGATCCTTTTTTGATGATGATGTGGATGAATCATAATCATAAAAAGAGACTATTAAAAATGAATTTGATTTTTGGATAATAAATTTGCAATCAAATCAGAAATGTGTTTGTTTGTCGGCATACCATGATGGTAAACAAATAATGATGATCATTTCCAAGTGTAATAATAAAATTGATTTTCTTTGAGATAAGATAGGAAAAAGTGAAGATTAACAAAGAAAAATTATCAGCTAAGGTTAATAATGACAACTATAAAAGAATTTCAAAAACAAATCTAATGATGATTAATTCATTCAAAATTCAATTATAATTCATTCGGCAAAATTTTCATGCATTTTAACTGGTTTGCATGACAATCCAATCAAAATGATTCGAATAGTGACTGTAAAAAAATTTTCCGGAACAATCAAACAAAACAAAAAACATTATCGTCTATTTAGGCGGTATATTTGTTGTTGTTTGGTTAGTTAGTTATTTCCGTTGTTATTGTTGTTGCTGTTGTTACCAATCATGTTCAACATCAATAAATGTTACCTGTGTCATTTGTCGTTTGGTTAAATTTGTTTGTTGGTTATCATTTGGGTGATCATATTTGATTGTCAACAACACACACTAACATAGGAAAAAAGCCGACAAACACACTTTGAAAGGTAACACACTATTAATTATGTCTATTATTACCAGACAAATAAAAATGAATTTAATGTTTAAATAATTTGTGTGTGGATGCCATCATCGAGCTTCATTCATCATTTGTGATTTTGCTTTGTCAACGTTCGCAACAAACCAACAATTTAAAAAAATTGAAAATGAATTTGAAAATAATATTATCATGGACAGTGGTATTGTTTTTCATTGATAATGTTTTGGGTCAAATTGGCATTGGTGGTCCATATGGTGGTTATTTTTTCGATCCAAATGATCCGATTGTACAGACGAATTTTGGCCCGGTACGCGGTGAAAAATTTCAACCAGGGCAATCATTTCAAAATAATCGTCCATACGCTAATGGTTTATCCTATGTACAATTTATTGGTATTCCATATGGTGCACCACCGGTCGGTGAAAATCGTTTTCGAGTAAGTTTTTGTTCAAGTGATAAGTTTTTTAATCATTACCCGTTTTGCTTTGGGGCAATAAAGCCACCACATTTTCCACCAATATGGACAAATACATTAGATTGTACTGGACGTAAACGTATAATGTGTCCACAAGTTTATCAACGGTTTCCCAATATTGCCGGTATACGTGAAGATGAAGATTGTCTCCACTTAAACATCTATATTCCAGTAGTATGTATCAAATTCGATAATCAAAGTAAATTGATAATTGGTTTCTTTCAATCAGGATAATCGTCCAAACACTATACCAGTTTTAGTTTATATACATGGTGGGGAATTTCGTTTCGGTGGCAAAGATTTTTATAAACCAGATCTTCTATTGCAAGCTGGAAATAATGCTGCTAGTCACTTTATAATTGTTACAATCAATTATCGTCTTGGTGTTTTGGGATTTTTATCCACCGATGATTTCAATTGCCCGGGTAATAATGGCATCCGTGACCAGGCATTAGCATTACAATGGATCCATGAAAATATTGCCAAATTTGGTGGAAATCCAGCCAATGTCACCATTATGGGTCATGATGCTGGTGGTGCATCCGTTTCATTTCATCTTTTAAATCAAGGTGTTAACCGTAAGTTAGCTTAAATCTATTCTATTGATTGATTGCCATTCAAATATTTTCCCTATGTATGAACGAATGAAGAATATTTTAGCAATGCCATATCCATAAGTGGATCTGTTTTCAGTCCATGGGCAATACATGATAATCCATTAGCACAGGCAAGAGATTTTGCACATCGCTTTAGTTGTGGTTATCGTCAAGATCAAATAGTTGAATGTTTACGTTATCAAGATTTGCGACAATTGATGGCTGTTAATAATGAACGTGATTGGGAACAAAATCGTCAGCCATTTTGGTTTCGTCCGGTTGTTGATCGTAATGTATCGAGTTCAGCATTACTGCGTGATTTTCCATTGAATTTATATAAAAATGGACAATTCAATAAAAAACCATATCTAGTCATTGTAACTGGTCGGGAAGGTAGCCTAGAATATTATCTACAATCAGGTCGCATGCCGCAAGGTAGCACGGCTAATCTTGAACAACAAATATCATTCCTGATACGGCCATATCTAAGGTATTATACAAACGAATTAATTATGGCCGATGCATTCGAATATCGTTATTTTAATCGTACCCAACGAACATTGACAATTCCACAGAATGTATTGAATAATAATCCATCGTTAATACAAAATCAATATACATTGAATAATCAAATCAATACTGGTGGTTATAATCCATTTTCCGTCCAATCCAGTGTCAATACTAATAATGTCGGTTATACACAACGTGAATTGGATCAACTATTTTCTGAGGTAATTTTTCCTTATAAATTCTTTTGAATTAATGAAATGTTTTTTTTAAAAAAAGATGCTTGGCGATTTCCTGTTTGTGGGTCCTGTTGATTATGCTGTACGATTGCATTCGGCACAAGCCCAAGCAATGATGTTAGTATTCGATTATGTCGGGCAACGATCATTCGGTATTATACAAAATGATGTTCTACAACAAGTCAACATTGAAACATATGGTGCAACACATTTCAATGACATATTCTATTTATTACCCAATGAATATGATCCATCAGGTTTATCGAATCTGGAATTGAATGTTGCATTACAATATTGCCGTTTTATTGGCGAATTTGTATTGCATGGATTTTCTGCACAAACACGTTATGTATTCTACACAGCAGCATCACCTAATTATCAGATTTTAACACGTACCGGACAATTAATACCACAAAATGCACACAATCAACAAGGATACCGTACAACATTTGTTGATTTTATAAATAATTTTATCTATAAGCTGCAAGATTCGGCCGTAATATTTCCACCATATTTTCCGCAACAAGAATTTAAATCCTATCAACAAGCAACATGGTCACTATTAGGTGTATTGATATTCATATTGATTATTGCCATCATATTGGCCATCATATTGATTGTACGCAAACGTCGTGAACATCAAGAAGACAAGGAACAATATCGCCATGATTCATCACCAACACAGGTTAAAGTCAAACAACGTTTCGATGATTGAAACATTGAGCAATAACATTTTTTCATACTTTTAATCTATTATGCATGTAAATGAATTTTTCCTTTAATAAAATCAAAATAAATAATTCTTTTGTCTCCACCAATAATGGAAAATGATCGTAAACAACAGAATTAACACCTTTCGAACAATGTTGAGGAATTTTTTCAAATAGAAAAGCTATCGCCATCTGTTGGAAAAGTTGTAGAAACAATATGGCCATATTATTGTTTTGCCTTTCCAATAATCCAATGCAAAATCGACGAAAACGTGTGGAACGTATCGAAAAACTCAATCAACGACAATTACCATCAAATGAGATGATACCTGGCCTTAGTTGTTCAAACGATTTTTTCATTCGACAAATTCAAGTTTAATTGATTTTATTACTTTAAATGTATTGTTAATGGATTTTTCTTTAATAAAAATAAAATTAATAACAGAAATGTTAATGAAAAAACGTCATTTTCAATTTCCTATTCAAGAGGATTTTTGTTTATGTTTTGAATTTGGATTCCAATTAAATTTGATTGATTTGTTTTAGGTCAATAGAAAACAACACCGGATAGGAAAGATTGTTTTGAAAAAGACTTTATTCAAGCCAATTTTTTTTCATTATGTTCATCATTGCATCCATCCATCTCATCAATGTTAAATTCACGAAAGTCTTCAATATTTTTCAAACCTTTACGAAAAATTCTTATGGTTGCGCGTATCAACTGGAAAGCCCAATAAATATTAAAGATTTGTATAACAATCAAAAAATAATAGAGAATTATGTAAAGAGCAACATGTTTCATATGAATTAATTGGTGCAAACCAAAATCGAGCGATGTTCTCAGTATGATGAATGGAAAAAGATAAAGACGATTGTAAAACCAGACAAAAATCAATATTGTAAATACCAATGCACGCCATTGATTAATATAATTTTGTATGAGAAATAATTTGATTTTACTCAAACAACGAACAAAATAAAATACTTCGCATATTTCCAACAGATAAATGCCAACAACAACCATACGCTCCATATGTACTATGTATGATATTGCTAATATTGATGTTGCTATTATATGATGAGCGATCATCACCCATGAATCACGATTCCAAACGTCTAAAAATATCAGGTAATATGTTGAATGAATATAGTTGGATATATCCATCACTAACAATAATCGTATTAGAAGATAATTTGATGGGTCAGTATTGGTTGGATTGTTTGTTGTTGTTGGTAGTAATTTGGCTGTATCAAAATAATGATCACCACCATCGTTATGATCGAACAATTGTAAAGATGTTGCAATTTTTCTCGATAACAGCACTGTATTCACATAGAATATCGTATCCCAGATATTGCTGATGAATCTTGGACTATCTCGTTTGTGAAGAAAATCATTTTCGATCAAAAATTTGATCAAATGATTGCATAATCGATAACGAATATTGGAGATGAGCCATACACCTATCAATATCCATGATAATTGTTGCCAATAAAAATGATTATCAATCAATAACTGCTTCACATTATCCGATAAATCCGAAAAGAATGGTTGCATAATTTTTTTCTTAACCAAACTTGAATGTAAACCAAATAGAGCATAGTATGAACCATTTATTATGTTCCAATATTCTTCCATTAATCGCATCATTTTGTTTGGTTGATTGGTTGATAGATCAAGAACGAATGATGAGTGAAAAATGAAATGAAAATTATACAACAAACTTGCATCCGTTTTAGTCATTTGATTGATTGATTTGGTGATAGAACACTATTCAAAACAACATTTTCATCATTTTTCCAACGAAAAAGGGGTTTTTGTTTTGTTTGTGGTCTACCGTCAATCATGGTGGTTAATGGTCATTTTTGGATTCGATTTCGAAATGATAAACAATTATTTACGTCAGGGAATTTTTTTTCATTTTATTTTGTTCGAGGGAAAATATTTGAATAATTTTTGTTTAAGCATGCAGGACGTCAGAAAAAAAGAGTTAATAGAAAAAAAACTGTTTTTGTCGCTATTGGAATAATAAAAGAAAAACAACAAGCACAAGTGAATGAACGAATGGCAATTGATTTGTATTATTTTTGGCAACGAATTTCTCGGACATCCTCCAATTGGTCCAAACCATTACGAAAGATATGAATGATCAATTTGATAAGAATAATGGACCAATAAATATTGAAAAGCTGTATCAATAACAGAATATAATAGACGAATACATAGATAGCAATCGTATCGATCAATATGAGACGATGATAGCCAAAATCGACAGCCGATGCCAAAATGATAAGTGGATATCGATACAATCGATTGTAAATCCAAATGATGAGCATTGAGGAAAATCCAATGAAACGTATTAAGTTTTTCCACCGTTGAATAATGGATAACTGGATTTTGATTGTGCAACGCAGAAAATAAAATACTTCAGATATTTCCAATAGATATATGATTGCTACACCCATCCGATACATTCGAATCGAATGTGATAATATGAACAGTATGATTGCAGCTAAGTGATGCACGATTAACATTGGCGAATCGTAATCCCACTGATGACGATAATTGATTATCAAATGAATTGTTGAATAAATATAATTCGATAAGTCGATTAGGTATAGATATTTTATCATTATTTCAATACCTCCGGTATCATTACTATCCCATAAACGTTCAGGATATTCAAAACATGCCATATCGGTTATTATGAGCCATGATATCAAAAAGGTATGCATATAGAACAGACAATTCCACAGATTATTGCCAAAACGATGATGATCGTGACCATAGATCAGACCATATTCCAATAAAAGATTGACCAGACATTTTTCACACAATAAATGTCGAATGATCATCAACAATATTATACATGACAAAACGGATACCATTTCCATCCAATAATAATCATTTTTTATAAATAGATTTTCAATCGTATCACGAAAATCAATCAAAAATGGCGGTCGAAAATTGTCCCGAATCGTTTCCGGGTAGATGACTGTTAATCCATGATAAGTTGCATTGATTAGATCAACATATTTATGGATTATATTCATTATGACCATGATTGATAATCAACTAATTCCAAACCAAAACCAAACCACAAATGACAACAAATGATGGAACATGTGCAAAAACAATCACGTGTTGACCGAACAAGGTCCATGTTGTTGTTGTTTTATGACTTCTGACTTTTCTTCTTTATCAACAACATGTGTGGTGTGTAAGTGGCTAATGATAAAGATCTTTATTTAAAAAACTCTTGTTTCAAATCAATTTTATTGCTATGTTACTGTGTTATCACTATCAGGTAATGTTTGGACAACGTTTCTCTTTCGTTGTTTCTGTGGTAGTAGTTTATGAAAATTGAAAAATTTCCTAGCTAAACGTTGAACAATATGAAAAATGAAATGTATCAAAAAACGGATAATATGATAGATAGAAAGACCTAGCCAAATACCAAGATGACCACCAATGATGCCAATGAATTCTTCCTTCGATATCCGTGGTCGATGTTGTATAATTTGAAATGGAATGGGTGATATTTTAATCAATACTATTGTATGCGTTTCCGGATTATCATTGATGGGCCAGCCATAGCCGGTCGTCAATACCGGATCAATGCGACCATTCAGTTCGAATATTGTTTGCAAACACTCATCTGGACATTTATTTTCGCAATGATTTTCGGCAGATAAAAATGTGGTGTAATTCTGTAAAAGAGGCGAAAAAATTAGAAAAAAGTCATTTTCAAACCAAATCTCACCTGATAATCATGATCGCACATAAATTCGGAATTATCTTCGGCAAACATCCTAGTTGATAGAGCCAAATAATAATTAATACAACCATCAATGCCATATGAATATTCTTTGATACAAATGTTACGACATAAATCTTGGGTACGATAACGGACAAATATGGCATCATCCGCATAATCAATGCATTCAGTATTGTATGGTTTGGATAATTTATGGGTAGTTTTCTTAGTAAAACTAACTTCATAATATGAGCTGCGTTGCACTTGTAATGAACGAAAACGACGTTTATTCGGCAGAATATTTGGTGGATGGACCGTAATGGTTGTTGTACCGAATGAATCGCCAATAAAATCCCATAAATGATTATGCATATTGATTTGCATAACAATATAAGGATTCAATTCAAATTTCATATGCTTCAAGTCGTCTGAATTGAACGGTTCATAATCAAAGTCATTGGAATAATCATCATTATCAATTGGAATCGATTCTGCCATGATGATGGGGTCCGATTGATTGAACAACGCTGACTTGTGATGGTTGTTATGATGATGATGAATATTGAAAAAATCATCAATATCGATTGGTGGCTTATAATGACGCCATTCGGGTTGAACATTTTCCAGATCACTAAAATACATGAAACATTTCCGGCCATCATACACAATGGGCAATGGTTGTTTGATTTTTTCACAATCAAATTCTGTTTGCAATATTGTAGAATTTGCTTTTCTTCGCTGTAATGTTCGAATATTGATGGGACGGAATTTACACCAACGTATCAACTGATCTAAACGTAGACTATAGTTTTGGATGATGTCTGTACCGTTGAAATCGGTTAGGGCAATATTTTCATAAATATGAAATAATCGATAACGATTGCGGATCGATTCGGTTCGATTCACACGAGGATTACGATGGAATTCATTTAGAAATTCACGATAGGAACGATTAAATCCAATGTAGTTACCTATAAGTAAAAACAAGAGTTTTCTCTGATTAGATAAAATCATCAACTTACTGGCTAGAAATTCGGGTGTAAAAATGGCACGACCACAGATTGTAATACCGGGGAAATCAGTATGATCGGGTCGTTGACGATCGAATTGTACGGTCGTTTCGAATCGAAAATAACCATGTAATACATCGGTTATATTGCAAATACAAAATAATGTTAACAGCACCATACAAACATAAACTATCAATTCATAACGATTCAATGAAAGGAATTTTTTCCTAAGATTCAACATTGTCGTCTTTGTTGGCAACTACGTCGATGAAAGACTTTCGAGAATGGCATTATTATTATTATGGCCAAACTCAGACTTTTAAGAATATTTGCCATGGAAACATTATCGAAAGCAAATGTTCACACCTGTTCAGTTTTTTTGTTTAAATAAATAAAAATGATTTATTTAATAATAGATCCTTCGCTTTTGGATTGGGCAATACATGATTGATTAATAGTAAATAGAAAACAAAATGATTATCATTAAAATATTAAGAATAAACGATTAAATTGCTGATAACAATAACCATATACAAATAGAATATTACTAATATAACCTATCAATAACCAGGATTGCCGGCCAAAGATGGCGCCACCGATCGTGAATGATGCAGAATTGTGAAAATGATTATTATTTGTTTCATCAAATCGATTATCTTGATTATGATCGTCACGAAATTTGGTCTGAGGCCAAAAAAATAATGATGCTGAAGCGGATGATGACGATGATTGAGCATGATGTCTGCCGGAATAGAACAAACCCGGTGGTGGCGGTGGTAATCGGCCACTATTATCACCATGACTATTTGCACCTTGTTGTTGTTGTGATGACATCCATTGTTTATAGACGAAATCACCACTTTCATCATGTTTGGCCAATGCATTATCTTCGATTTCATCCGGCCAAATAAGTACCGATTTCGACGATGATGATGATGATGACGACGACGAACTGGGCGGTGCTGCTACAACCAAATGGGTTATAAATATGATGAATATGATCACAAAATAATTATTAATCACTGAGGATAATGACGAAAAGATGCCAACATTTTCAACTAAAAATAACCAAATTGATTGACCGAACGACGACGATGATGATATTAATCTTGATTTGATGGTCATTGTGGATGAGTGTTGTTGTTTGATCGCTAATTGCATTAAGAAATATTTTTCAATTTTGGTGAAAAATGATCAAGTCAGAATAGAGTATCATTTATGATCGATTATATATCAATTGAATTGATGGTCAGTCAATCAATCTATCTAATATGAATATCATTTTCATGTTTTCACTAGTTCCCAATATGCAAATATTCACTTGATTGGTATGTATTGAGAAAACAAAATAATCTCATCAACCACTAATCAATAATCAAGCAACATCATCCATCATAATTTGATAATGAATGTGTAAACAACATACAACATTATTTATCTCTCACAAATTGATAGCGAAAAATGAACCAAAAACGGAATATTGAAGAGCCACTTTGAGATGATCATGATGAATAATAATGCAGTGTTGAATGTGTGCAGAAAAAAGATGTCGTTGTCATGTGGAAACATCAACATGAATGGAAAGCAAATGGCAGAAGCAAAAAGCACTTTCGGAAATTGTTCACTTTTGCAGGCGAAAATTGTTTGATTTTTTTGTTTAATGTTTTCCTGTTTATCCTGTTGTGGAAAACTGTTTGCATTTCAGCAAAATCAGATCGGATTAAACAAATATAGCAGTGATATTTATCTGATCACCATTGTCTCATCAACAATTTAATTCTTGAAACTTGATTGACACTCGATTGACATGATTTTCATTGATTTTCAATGGTCAAAAATCATTGAGACATTTCAATTGATTTTTTGAAGAGAAAATCAAAATGTAATGTATGTTGTTGTCGAATCTAATTTATTCTGATTTTTGCAACAAAAGTCTGATCTTTTCGTTTTGTTGAATTCAGGAACTATTTAGCGATCAACCAGACACAGAATCAGGAACATTTCTCAACAACAATGATCCCATGATGATAATGATGATTTCTGTTTCGTCGTTTGTTGAATTGAAAATTGCAAAACAAGCCGATGAATGGGATGAAGTCTAGCTTTTGCGAATCGTGAATCAAAAAACGAAACAATTTTTGTTAACAATGACAAAAATGTTAAGAAGATTAATTCACAATTTGATTCGATTCGAGTTGAACAAGCAGAGATTATTATTATTATTATATAGAGACATTGAATGTTTTTTGCCCAAAATATATATCGAGTAGGGAGAAAAAGCAAATGATAACAATTGAGAAACACAAAGAAGATTAAATAAAGGATGTTTTAAAATTTGTTTTTCTTTCTCGATTTGGACTTTGGGATTGGTTTGTGCAAAAACAAAGTTTCAATCGCAATAATGATGATGATTTTGTTTGGTTTGGTTTGTTTTCAATGGAAATTTTTCTTTTTTCAAAATTTACTTAGTCGTCAAATGAAACATCAATCAGAATTGAGACTGATTGATTGATTGAACTCAAACTTGAATTGTTGTTCGAATGTAAAACACAGGGTTCAGGTAAAATGTAAGCATCAGTCTTGTTTGTTGGGCATAATTTATTCATTAAAATATGTCAAAATCAAAACAATTTTTCTTGACAACTTTTTTCAAAACTTTTCAATTCAAATTTTGTCGACCCTTGTTTTCACACTGCAAAAAACTGGATACGTTTTTTCAAAAAAACCGGTTTGCCGGGAAATAAATTAAAATTTCAACCTCGGGTACCCGATCGACGATGATGACGAATGAAAAAGAAACTGACATGCAATCGACAAAATACAAAAATGGTTTGCATGAATTTGAAAAAGCAGAAAGAAATGGCTGAATTTCCCTCTTCGATTGAATCCCAGAGAATATATAGAGAAATATAGAGAGAATATTTTTTATTCATGCGCACGACATGTTGCGTCAACCAAAACTTTCCCGGTAAAAGTCGTTTGTCGGAATTTCTTTTACTTCCTCGTGTGTGGGTGTGAATCACAGGTGAATCTTAATCGGGCCAATCAAAAAAAACACCCAAAGGGACCAAAAGGAAAAAACACATCATAAAAACAATGACAATGACGATTGGAATTATGTTAATTATGAAATGGAAATTTTTTCGGAAAACAGAAAAAATATTGAATTTCGTAAAGATTTCCCAAGATATTTTTTCATCGAGACAAACATTCAAATTCTGGGAATATTATCACTTGATTGAAACAAAAACTTTACACTTTCTCGGATTCTCTCTATGGAGACGACAATCATCATCAGCAATGGAAATATTTTTTTGGCAGAAAAAAACTTTGAAATTTTGTAAGATTCTTATCATCTCGGTTTTGTTTCATCAAAATTCCAATTTCGAATTCCGTGTTTGTTGACACTGAACTTTTTTCTTAGTTTATTTCTCTGGTGACAAATGGAATGTCAGCCAGCCAGCAAAACAACGAAAATATTGACGAAAAGAGAAAAACCACAAACAAACAAACATCAAACGACAAGACAAACATCAATTGAATTAAAACCCACCAAACATGTTTTGAATATCATATCATTTCCATTTTCGTTGCTAGCAGAGAAAGAGTGAAAAAACTTGAGCAAATTTTGTTTATTTCATTTCGCCAAATATGGGGAAATTTAGGTTTGATTTGCATACTGGCTGTCAATATTATTTCCCAATAATATTTTCTATTTTGTCGCCATATTTGTTATTCATTCGACAAGAAAATCGATTGATATGATCCAGACAACAACCAAAACAACAACAACAAATTTTCTGTGTCGAATGTTTTGAAACTGAGAAAATTTCCAATTTCAAAATTTAATTGAATTTTTGTTTGTTTTTCAACAAATTTTAATTATTTTTTTCAGAAAACTGAACTCTGTGTGTCTGTGCTCGGTTTGTTTATTTAGTTGATGGTTGAAAAGTAAGCTAAATTATTAGCATTGATTATATAATCAAACTATCAGTGATGAGCATTTCATCCAACCGAAAACATCATCAACTAAATAACTCTCATCAATACGGTGATGAAAACACACATATTGGGAATCAACAGAGAATTGAACGGGAAATGTAATGAAATTTTTGCCAACTTACTCTGATTAAGTTGCCAATAAGTCGGTTATTATCATCCGAATCGGAATCAAAAACGAAAATCAGATTTGAAATTCATTCGGATGGAAAATTAACCCAAAACAAAACATTAAAAAAGATTAGACAGAATTGATCCACAAACAATGTCGCTTTGTCTTTTGTTTCCCCAATTCGAATGTTGTCATCATTCTTTTCTTGATTTTGGTCGAGAAAATTCCTTATGTTAAACACTGATGAAGATGAGAATGAAGAAATAAAGAATCGACAATAACGGTTAAGAAAACCCAATTTCCCTTTTGGTTTTGTTTCTCTCAAAGAATATATTCGTTTGGTTGTTATATAATTCTTACCAAATGATGAATTGAATTCATCATTTCTCATTGATTACTTTAGCTGTTTTGTTAATTCTTTCCAATCTAGTTTAGTTTCAGATCAAGTTAATTTCGTTCTTCGTTTTTTTCGATTGATCAAGCAATTACAAGGTAAGAAAATGGGAGGCCAACAAATCATTATTGGGAATGAAAATCGATTTTGTTTTGTCGACAAAATCAATAAATTATCTGACCAAGGAGGAAAAAATATGATCAAACCGAATGACAACAATTTGAATGGAAAATATTGCAAAATTTCAATTGAATTTTGTTTATTTCATTTTTTATTCATTCAAAAACAGCTCAATTTTCCCGATTGATTGAAAGGGCCGAGAAGGAATAAAGAACGAAATTGAATATTTTTTGTCCATTGGTGAATATTCAATAAAATAATAACAATATGAAATGAGATATGCAAGCAAAGAAGGAAAATTCAAAATTGCAAAAAAGATGGAGAAATGATTTGTCAGTGAAATAAGAAAAGTATGAAAGTTTCTCTTGTCTCGAAAGAAATAAAAAAAATTGAAAATCTGGCGCCCAATTGATAAGACGATCGAACCAAATGAACGCCACGTTCTTCAATCAAAATCAAATTCGATAAAAAGGAAAAATTGCTTCGACAACCAAGTAACATTTTTCCTTCGTCGAATAACAAGGACGCTTTTCAGCAAAATAGAAAATATTGAAAATCTTCAAATCCACCTGAGCCAGAAAACTGAAAAGAAATGTTGTTTGTTTGCCCTGAACAAAAACAGAAGGAATTCTGAGAGAGAAAAGAAAATGTTCGATGTTGGGATGGAATGTTTTTAGCATCATTCGAATAATTAATCGAATAATAAGCCAATGCAAGAAACAATGAATTTATCTTTTGCTTTATTTCATTTTAATTGAATGTTTCTTCCACCAGTGCAAATGATCCGTTTCTCAATGAGAAATGAAGCAAAGAAAAATGATTAATTATTTGTTTATGTTTGGTGTTTGTTTCATGATGCTTTACACTGATCGATGTTGAAATGATGAGCATTTTTCGCCATAATTTATAACACAACAAAACAAATTCAATTATCCGCGTAGTGAACCCTTATATTTTGAGAAAATGATGAAATGCAATGCCATAATACAATAACCATTTGGTAAAAGCACAATTTATTATAGACCAAACCACAATGAAAAACAATTTTTTCCAAATCAATTTGTTGAATTGACATTTGTGTGAAAAGGATACTTTTCAAAATTTATGTTAGTTATTTTCATTTTTATTCCAAACAAGCCAGTGAGTCGTGCTTATAGTTGAGTGAGGTTAGGTTGATGACTATGACTATGACTATGATTCATAGTTGAGTGAGGTTAGGTTGATGACTATGACTATGACTATGA